TTTAGACCCCATACAGCAAGTTGTTAAATAACACAAGGTGTACAACCGCGCTTGGCCTTGGCCTAATCCAAGGATGCAATACGGATGTGAAGCCTTTTGCCCATCGCATCTGCAAAGTATGTTCCGGTTCCAAGGCGTTGGCAATGACTAATGGGTCCCGTTTTGTTCTTGCAGTTCTCTCCACATTTCTGAGGCGGTTTGGTTGGAGTTAATCCCCTTGAGTATATCCTTCCAACTGTTCATTTAGGCAACCCTAATGGTTTGGTGGCAGTTCGGTAGTGTTCGGTGGCACGCTCTTTATCGGAGTGGGCCTAGGGCAGACGGTTTGCAACATGGAGAGCCTTTCTGCTTGCTTTGATTGGTGATTTTGTTTCGGCACACCACCAGTGGAGAGGTTTTCTGCAAGGGAGGGTTCGGACTGGTCTTCGGTATTGCGGTGCTCGCTGCCTCGAGGATGATCCAGTTCCTCCATACTTGTTGGTTGTTGTTCGTTGGATGCAGCTTGATGGAAAAGCTCCCACTTGGCTTGCTCGTTATGCTCAAAATGCTACGCAATTCTCAAAACTTCTACTAAGTATGCTGCATTTTCCGCTAAGTTCCACGTATGTAATTGCTTAAACTTGTACGTAATTCCCTGAAGTATTCCAACTCCATGAGGCTTAAGAAAAAAGCCCTGAAATTATATGGAGGACCCCGAACAATAATGAGGTTCCCTAGAACAGGGGGTCGACTAGGCCTGTAGGAATGTTAAAAAATAAATTTGTTTAGAAGGCTTAGACTTGAACTAATTAAATCCAGGGAAAAGTTCTTGGACTAGAATTTTGACGTAGGACCACGTTTTTAATTTCTATACTGGGTGTCACATTAAAAAAAAAATCAAAACTCAGACATGTAACGAAAAATCCCAAACACGGACGTAACTATAGAGCGCAAATTGAACACACGCATGCGCATGCTCACATGAGTGAGCTCATCACTCGGTTGACCGCCCATCATTTCACCAATGAATGAAAGGGAGGAGAAAAGCAGCGATAATAAAAACGCTTGCCAAATCGTTTTCTTCGTCATTTACTTTCGAGCAACGGACGGATAAGCGTCGGACACGACGTTAATTAGTTATTCTGCAAGTATAAAACAGACTGTAATTCAGTGGACGTGATCAGTTGCAATTCCATTAGCTGTGGGGACAGTCATTACAACTAATTTGAAAGACCCTGAAAGTGGACGCGGACATCAGAATGAGAAGCATTACCAACGGCAACGACATCCTTCGAACGTTACACAGCTGAGTTTGACTACAATGATCTCCTGCGTAATGCTGCTGCCAGGAAAGCCAACTGAGCACGCTGTCTCTGGAGATAAGTACACCAGTTTGTTCGCTTCAATCTAAAATGGCAGTTTCATTTGCGATGGAGATGGTCACCACAAATTTGGTAGGACCCCGAAGGACGCGGACATCGGAGGCTCTCTGAGTAGCTTCACCATCTTTCGGACGTTCCACTGCAGTCGTTCCGTTAGGCTGACTACAACATTGATCACCTGCAATATTTCAACCGCTGTACAATGGTGTAAGCACACCATCCCGAAAGTAGCAGCAAGCAAATCTCTTAGATCCCAAATGGCCTTTTTCAGGGCCACTATATTTCTACGCTATAAAATTTATTTTAAGATCTCTAGATGATGGGTAAAACAAGTTCACAAATTTGAAATATTTTTGAACCATGGAGAGAAACAACAACAAACAACCATCAATCAGTGCCAATAGCAGTATTCGGAAAATCAGGGTTCAGAGAATAAACTTGCGTAAATCATCCAGCTCTAAACCTTCCCGCAGACGTCAATTGGCAGCACGTTTATGCATTTCGTGTTAGTTCTCCATCAACTGAAGCAAATACAACAGCAATATCAACAAATAGCGCCAAAATAAAAGGAAATGGAAATCTAGGCAGCGATTAGAACCTATTCGATCCGTACCCTCCAGCTCCAACAACCCTTTCGATGGACACCAGGAAAAAACAACAAACGGTCCTTTTCAGTGCCATCATTTGAAAAACAAAAGGCCACGAATTCAAATACAGAAGGATTTAATATAGTAGATTTTCGAATACTTAAAAGAACAAAGAGCAATCACGTTTGTTCCGACCACTCCCGGCATTTGCGCTACATATTCCAGATGTAGGATGTAAAGTATTCATCACCTATTTCTCTTACAATTGGTCTCAAGCAAATCGATTAACTTACCCCATTCTAGTCCACATTCTAGTACTACATTATGTGTGTTTTGATTCGCTATCAAAGTTTGACAGATAAAATGAGGGGCTCTTGGATTTTCCCATGTTTCGAGGGTTGCATCGATTAGCTTGGGACCGAAGAGAGTACCAGAGCTGAGCCAAAAAGCTGAGCACGTTTCTTCGGGACCTTCTGGTCTATATGGTAAAACTATATCGCTATATTTTTTCCTCAAGCAATTTTCTTTAATTTCCCATAAGTTTTGGTAACAGAAGTGAACAGATGATTCTCATATGGTAATATCATCATTCAGAATTTAATGTCACAAACAAACTTTTAAAATAACAGGTATCAATAATCACTATTTTTTCATCAGCTACACGGTAGCCGTCCCAAACGATCAAAAGGACACCAAAAAAAAAAGCAAATAACGGTCCTTCTCAGAGTCACTATTCGAAAAATATTCCGGCGCTTTTCAGGGCCACCAATTAAAAAACGGAAAGAGTTAAGATAATAGATTATCGATCAATTAAAAGAACTAAAGGCTCAACATATTTGTTCCGTCCAGTAGCGGTCCTCCGTGAAGCTTCCGTTCGTGCCCCTAGGCACAGACCCGTCTATTATTTTTTTTATTCAAGACATGGACCATTTCTACAAGGTTCTGGGACGTGTTTAAGCTTCAATAATTCGTACTTAGAAAATTATTGAAGATAGTGAATTTATTTTTTTTTTAATTAAAATCCAAGTTCAAGCCAGGTGAGTTTTTAATCAAATCTAAAACTCAGCATCATTTGAGTTTTGATAATTTCCGGACTAACAAATATTTTTGATATTCTAAACCAGAAAGATTTGCAAGATTTCGTACTCATGCCATTTTCTAAAATTTTGAATTTCGATTTGTTTAAGACCGCAGTCATCAAACAAAAATCATGGCAGCAGATCATTTGAAATTTATCGGATTTTCTACTTGTAAACAGCTTAATTAGGATCTTAGAATGCGAAAAAAAAATCAGAGTAATTAAACTTTTAGATCAAGATCAAATCAAAATGTTCGATATCCTCAATTTTCCATTTTTTTTTATCTTGATCTTTGAAAAAAATATCATGATCCCAATGTTCTACACTAAGAACCATATTCAAGATTCAAAATTAAGATATTTATGTTGTGACTGTTCTTATCCTGAGGATTTAAAAAAAATACTTAAAACATTATAAATCGAGATCCCGAATTTGAAAAACTGGATTGGAATACTCCTCAGAATTTTCAAAAAATTCATTCTCGTCGAAATATTTTAGATAAAGTCACAAATGGAGGTTTTTTCTTCAAGTCCACCTTGAAAATTATCCAATAATTTTATTCTTGTATTTTAATCTATGATCGTGTAAAAGTTTCAAAACCCAACATCTGTATCTTCGATTCAGAACCTTAAAAATGTTGCTCAAGCTTGGGTTTTATTTTTATTTTTTCAAGGTACTGAATCTCAAAACAAATTCTAGCTTCTAGAGTTTTAGACTGTGGAAAAAATAAACCTCATATTTTTGTTCGACTTCCTCAGTCTTGAAGATTCATCTTAGTCCGAAATCTCAGCGTGATCTTAATAAGTTTAACTTAAAATTTTCTAAAATAATCGCAAAGTGTAATTTTTATTTGTCTACAATTCCGCCAAATTACCCAGTTACCCATTAGCGATCATGTGCTTCAAAAAACTGTATGATGCTGTAAGTCAACAAGATTTAAAATTTAAGACATTTTGAAAAGCATTCGAGATCTAAGACCCGAACAAAATTATTCATTGGTAGGACTTGGATAATTTGTAGGGCTGTCCGTAAACCACCCTACTACCCCTTTTCGTAGACAGTTGTTAATACAAAACACTTACCACCCACTCCCCTCTAAGCTGTTAATGGACATTGCGGAAAATTAGTGAAATTTTCTAAATCTAGAGAAAAATAAATAAGAAAGGGAGGTATTTGCCCCTCCCTGATACCTCGGAGTGCCGCATCCAACTCACCACTGTTCAGAATTTGAGGAATCTGACCACGATTTTGAAATTTGCATTATAGAAGAATTAAATTAAAAGATGCATTAAGGGGAAGCTTACCGGCCCGAAAATAAAAAAATAATTTCGATAAATTTTATTTTTCTAAAAATATTGGAAAAAAATATAAAAAATCCAAGAAAATCAGTTTCTTCCCTAGATTTTTTTCAAAAATTACATGTAAAAATATTTTTTCTATCTCATCATGAAAAAAAATTGGACTCTCAGCAAAACCGAAAAATCGATGTTTTGTGGTTTTTTGAGTCCAACTTTATGCCATAATAACTCATACAAAATGTTTTTGCACGTGAATTTTCTTTGAAAAATTAGACAAAATGTGATTTTTTTAGATTTTTGATATCTTTTTCCAATATTTTTAGAAAATTCAAAACGTAATTATTTTTTTCGGAGCGGTGAGCTTTCCCTTAAAGAAAGGGTTACTTATCACCGTATTAATTTCGTTTAAAATTATCATCTCGAAAAGGATAAACTGACAACAAAGCTCACTAAAAATCATTACCATTAAACACAGCACTTGCCTGCCAACCCTATCGCCATTATGTTTCCCATCCGAGAAATTCGCCCACCCTGTGCCGGTAGTGGTGTCTTTGCTCACCATTCCTTCACTGTTGATTTCTCTCAGTGAGTTCATCGGGTTCCGTGCTCGCTCGCCACTCTCCGATTCGCACTCAATGAGTGTTGTTCCCATTCACACCACAGCCAACAAAGCGGTTCGTTCGTACCTTCACATCGAACTGAGCTCCGCACTCCCGTTCAGTTTGAGTCCGTACGTCATGTGAATCGGTTGCGATCCGCCAGAGTCATTGGTGCGCTCCGCGTTACTCCGACCCACACCGTGTGGTTGTTTCACTCCCCCCTCCCCCAACCCAAAAGCACACCGTCGTCTTCGGCAGAGTGCCGTGCGCCGTAGGTATTCCGTTCCTGCGGGGGAACGTCGTAGGTGAACGTTTCCGAAACAGTAAGACGACACTCCGGTTTCGGTGTTGGATCAGAAATTCGTCAGTGAACAGAAAAATCGTTGGGGACTGTGATTTTGCAAAAGTAGTGATTGGAAGTGATTTTTCTCTGTTGATTGCGAAATTTTCCGCTTGACCAAACTGAATCCGAATAGCGAAAAGCGAACGCAGAAAACACGGCGGAAAACGGCAGTAGTTTTCGGGCAGCAGTCAGTCGGTCGATCGGTCGGTAGTAGTATTAGCTGGCTGGTAGTAGTGACTGTGGATGTAGAAGGGAAGCGAAAAATATTTCAAAACTTGTTCTTGCGGCCAGCACCAGTCAAGTCAGCAGTTGTGTTGTTGTTGTTGTCGTTGCTGCTATTGTTGTTGTTTTTGTTGTTCTCGTAGTTGTTGTTATTGTAGAGAAGTAGCTGGTAGAGCTCGCGCGCGTCACGAAGACCCTCGGAAGAGAAGGCAAAAGGAAAACGAGTATCTCGGACGACGACGACGACGACGTAACAGCTAACCAAGCCAGACCAACCAGACTTCACGACACAGCGCAGACCTGTATCGTGGTGGAAGTGGCCTCTCTGCTGTGAGAAGGTATGAGATTATGTGGCAGAAACAGCAGCAGGAAAGACCACGAAAACGACGACATATGCAGCAATCGCCCGTCGCAACTGCCGGAATAAGCTCTGAAGGATTGTGCAATGTGGATGAAGAGCTAATGATTAAATGCAACTTGTTCCGTAGGAAAGGCCTCAAGAATGTACCGCTGCTGTAGTGGAATGCGGTGAAGAGGAAGAAACATCAAAAGGAAGAGATAAACACAACAAGAGAGGTACAAACAGAAGGGAAAAAAAGGTGTTCTTAATTACCTGTTAAAACGGTTATAAATTATCAAATGATGTTGGAAAAAGTGATAAGCGGATGCTTTATTTATTCAAGTACTAAACATGTTATGAAAAATGGATAAATTTTAATCAAGCGACCATCTGGTGCCAGATAGAAGAATTTCCGAAGCAAGTAAATCTACCAAAGTCAATCTTGCGAAGATAAGATTCAAGTGTGCAATTTCCAGGGATAAGAAAAGAACAGGCAAATCAAGAAGATCCGTAAAGTAAGGGAAACCAATTCTACAACGTCACCCATTATCAAGCAAGTGAATTGTGGTTTCCCGATAAGCCTTTGGTCAGCTGAAAGAAGAAAGTACACCCAAATCTGAAATTGTTACTTTAACACACACAAAGAGTTGAGCAGAACAAAGCTTGTTGGTAGTGAGTACAGAGGGAGAAAGATAATAATTGTTGTCATTAAGGTTATTTTCCTAGGCATAAGAAATTTACACAACCTTCAGCATCGCACAAGCAAAAGTGGTGAATGATTATTCATGGTGATGATGCATTAGTGGTGCTGTATGCAAAAGAAGAAAAAAATTAGCCCCCGACACAGAAAAATAGCCATCGGAAAAGTGTGCTAAGTGATTTTTTTTTTTCGGAGCAAAGAGAAAACCGATCAAAGCAGGCCAGCCGACAAACGGCGAAGAAAGAGCAAAGAGTCAGCGGAGGCAGAGTGGGAATAATTTGATTTCGATGAATGGGTGAAAAGAGAGGAAAATTTTGAGTGAATATCGACCCGAAAGCAGAAGAAATGCGAAGCAAAGTGAATCAAGCAAGCAAGAAATAGGGAAATCTGTGCTTTGAGTAAAGAGGAAGCAAATCGAAACTAGAAGAAGAGTCCTTGCTGGCGAAGGAGGAGAAGTGAGAATACTGCTTCAACAACAACAACAAATAAATAAATAAATAAAGGAAGGAAGGAAGCCAAAAGATTCCATTGCCAAGGGCCGGTTGTGTGTTTGTTGATTATTAGTTTTTCGGCTGTGTTTAGTGATTCTAGTGGTGGTAATTGCGTGTGCCTATATGTGTCTCTCAGTGTGGGTTTGCGTGCCGTCATTCTGTGTCCTGTGAATGCACACGGCCAGTGCTCGTGATTTTCGGTGCTCGATATTATTCCATAGTGCTGTGTGCTTACGGTTCTAAATAATAACAAAGCGACGGTGAAGCAGACGACAAAGTTTTGATAGAATACAGATACCGTGGGCATCGTCATCGATCTGGATGATATTTTTTCGGCTGAAAAGTGTTTGAACAGTGCCTCAAAATTTGGGATTACTCTTTGGAATCGGTTAGTATTGGACGGTTTTGTCGGATTATGTTTACGTTAAGGAACGAAGGATTGATGGTGACAACCGAAATATGTGTTGCTTGTTTTGATTTTGGCGTTTGTTTGTCAACAGTTTCTTGATTTCAGAAGATTTATGTTTATTGTTGAATGAACTTTGGAGGATGTTGTTTCAGTGCATTTACCAGTGAAACCGTGACTACAAAATGTTACATTTTAACCGCTGTTAGACTGTTAATTTTCCATCGAGAACGGATTGGCTTGGAACTGGCATAAAACAAGCAGCATTTTTTAGGGAATTAATCATTTTATCAAGCTTCTGCATTCATTTTCCATCAGATGTCACTGCTGTTATTGGCGGTGACATCTATCGGAAACGACACATAATCTGTTTTCCGTTAATTGTTCACAGAGGACAGTGCAGTGCAAAACATGTCTGGTACCTCTATATATGCATTTAGATTAACATCGGAAGTCCCTCCTTTTTTTACACATTTTGCACCTACTCACCCCTCACAGGATTTCCTGCCGAATTTTATGAATGGGGCGGGGCAGAAAGTATATTTTGTGCAGAATATGTAAAAAAGGAGGGAGAGGTACCAGACATGTTTTGCAGTATCAGGTACTCTATTTTGTAATCTGTGAAAGGGAAATCCCAAATAGAGTGTCATCAAAATACATGGCATGTTGAGAAACTAGTGACAGCTAACCTTCTCTCAAATTTGAATTTTTTGGCTCTCTGGGGACTGGTAGTAAAGCAGGTAAAACTGTATGGGGAAAAATCATTTTTATTTAATTGTAGCTTGTTTAACAATAATTTCCGGGAAAAAACTGAACGACAAAGCCCCTGACTAATTTCTTCAGGTTGTCGTTCATTTTTCTTTACCTGCACTGAAAGCGAATTATTCCCACTTCTCTCAATTTATATATGGAGATTTTTATCACTTCTCACCAGCGGAACAGCGCCATCTCTGTGAAAAATGGATTATGCTTGAATATTTAAAGGCTAGAAAATGGTTTGCATGGATTAAAAAAGAGAAGTCATGCGCTTCTAATATCCACTCGTAAGTTATGTCTGCAGCAGATACCATAAGTGCGAAATGCGTCAACTTTCTTGCTTTGTTTTATGGTCACTTTAACTATCTATTTATCTATCTTCTATATATATATATAAATGAATTTATGTCTGTATGTATGTCTGTCTGACCCTTATAGACTCGGAAACTACTGAACCGATCTTCGAGAAAATTTGTATGCAGGGGATTGTTCGAGACCCCTCCCCCCTATGAAATTTCTGCATTACTCGAGAACTAATCAAGCAAATGAAACCAAATTTGGCATATGGATGCCATAGGGGGTATCCCCTTAGATTTGCGGGGGGGGGGGCTACGAACAATATAGCATGCTTTTTTTAATCGGTGCATAAGCTCAAGCTAACATTGAATTCCGAGCAAGGCCGGGCACACTCAGCTAGTGGATAATAAAAAAGCAAAAATTGGTTGGAGGAATTTCTTGTCAAAATTTTCCATTCGCGAGATATTCGCGATCAATCATATAACATTGAGATTTTATTGCTTTTTCTAGCGTCCTGGAAAAAACCTTACCTAATTTATGTTAATTGGCAAGGTCATGTGGAATTCGGTCATTGCGAGAATTTTTATGTACCACTTCAATACTGTTACGCATTTGACCACAAACGTTTAATTGCTGGGTGCAATATCAAAGAGCTTTAGGGGTGATATGACTGGCAGAAAGATGAGCAAACGTTTTATGAAAATTAACTCTTAAACAACAATAATTTATGGTGGTCCTGAAAAGAACCGTTTTGTCGTGATGGTAATGCTGAGCTATTAGGAGGTTCAACACGGATGAGGCTGGCGAGCTGTATGTTGTTTGTAACTAGGGTGACGCGCTTGACATAGATGGCCTACAGCGGCTCACGACGAGCAACTGAATCCGATCAGTAGCGGTGCGGCTTTTTCCTCCTTCTTCGGTGAATCGAGGGCTCTGGAGGGCTGCCTTGATAGCTAGGCGAAAGCACTGCTGCTGCTGATGATGACCGAACATCACCTCTCACCACATGCGGTGATTGAATAAACATCGTTCGGTTAGACCGGATGAAATTCGATTTTGAAATCTGTGCTAGGGAAAGCGCTTTTCGCAGGCAATCGGTGATAATTTTATTTATCATAGCAACAGTTGCACATTCGTGCAATTTGCAATAGTGACCTTTGGAAATTTGATAAAGTCTTAATTTTAACAGATTCGTAGAAAAATGTCCCATCGAGTGGCGTATTAAGAATTAAAATCCATCATCTCTGGATCAAAATCAACCACTTTCATACCGTGGTTTTTGAAATTGCACCCCCAATGTTGCCTTAAAAATACATGGTATGTTAGATTTTAACTTATGGAAACTGACATCCGATTGATGACCTTGAAAAATGTCCAGAAAATACTGTTTATGGTGGTAGCAACCTTTCATTGTATGCTGGAGAACAATGTTCAACGCAACGCGCCGAAAGCACTGGTGCTGCTGCTACTGATGACGACCGAATGGACACCACCGCACACGGTGATTGAATAAGCACTGTTCGGCGAGACCGGATGGAATTCTATTTTGACATCTGTGGTAGGGAAAGCGCTTTTTGCAGGCAATCGGTGATAATTTTGATTACCATTGCAACAGTTGGACATTTGTGTAATTTTGATAAAGTGTTCATTTTAGCAGATTAGTAGAAAAATTTCCAATCGATTGGCTTGTTTAGATTTACAATCCATTAGCTATTGACAGTGTTATAAGTGGTCAAAACATAGTGTTCATTCACATTTGAAGTCTTAAGCATATAAAATATAACGTGTACATTAGGGTGTTTCATTTTGAAAAAAGTGATGAATTTTTGATAGGCCACCCTCCAGTTCGATTCATAGCCCCAAAATATGAACCTGTGCAAAAAATGGTAAAGATTGATGAAGGTTTAGAGGTCGCGCCAATGATTTGGATTTTGTATGGAGATTTTGGTGAATTAGTATGGGAAATTATTGATTTTCGTTTACATTGCTCTAACTTTGGTTGTAGTTGTCCAAACGTTGAAAAAAAAAAATATGTGGTTGTCATGACAATGATCAACAAGCCTGTTGTTGTTGCGATGAAATTGGCGTTGTTGCCTTGTACATATTCATCTGTCAATTTACCCTATTTTGCCATTTTTTCACATTTTTATAATTCTTGATACGCTGCAAAACTGAGCGTAGCAACTGTAGGCTTTTTGTTTATTGCCATAGCAATAACATACTAAATTTTTTCGACATTTGGACAAGTAGAAGCAAAGTTATAGCGATATAAGCGATTTTTTAAATTCTTCCATAGTAATTCCCATACAAATTTCAAATCATTGGCGCGACCTCTAAACCTTCATCAATCTTTACCAATTTTTGCACAGGTTCATATTTTGGGGCTATGAATCGAACTGGAGGGTGGCCCATCAGAAATTCATCACTTTTTTCAGAATGAAGCACCCTAGTGTACATCTATAACTCACTCACTACTCTGGTCATCACTCTTCCGGGACCGGATTGGCTTCGCCATGGCCTAGGAAGTTTCGAATGATGGCGCAGGTGCTGATTTATCACCGACTTCTGGATAGTTGGTAATTCCTTCTCCATCTTCAGCACCTTCAGGGCTTTCATCAGCTTCTTCGGCACGTTTCCGGTTTCCGAGAGTACTATGGGAACAATATTCGAAACCTCCTCCAATCCCCAAAACTCCTTCAAGTCAGACCGTGTGACATTGTGTTTCTTCCAGGTTAGTTGTAAACTATAACGCCTGAGCGGTTGTGGTTGATGAAGAGATCACTCAATGTCGCATTTATGGTCATTGTAGACAGCTTTAGTCCGGCAGTTAGAAAGTGATAGCTCTATTGTAGATCCAGCAACCCATTTCAGAATGTCTGGAGAGGCACGCCCATTCCGAGGTTCCTTTACTTACAATAAGCCCCGCATGTACGTATTACCTCTATCAATTGGATATTAGTATTACACTCACACTTCCAATTTCAAAATGTTCTGTTGAATCCTGGCACGTATTTAGTTTTTTTTTTAATTTTAAAAGTATTTGGGCTGGTCTCACCATGTTAATTTGATCCTCCAATTCATGGGTTCCGTAGTTTTCTCTACGTTTTGCATCTCATTTCGTGATTTACCTTTGTCGTAATAGTTACTTCATTACTAGTTACTCCATTCATGAACACAAATTGTCTTGCATTGCCACGATCATGTAGGAGAAGGTTCACGTCTAGTGCTTTCCCCAGGAACCTTTCGCGGCCACCAGCTACCACCCGTCCAGTCTTGGGCGTATCCAGTTCATATTGCTCGCAATCTCCGACACCGGCAAGAGACCAGCAGCCGAGCACTTGTGCAAGCGGAAAACTTACTGATTGACGGCAACGTCAGCCACCGAATCACCACCAAAACTCGCGACGGACACGTTATCAGCACGTTCCCGGGCTAATTCACCAACCGGACCGGGTTCAAACTCGCCAATAGTGACGAATCTCTCAATAGAACAGACACGTCGAAAATGTGGCATCCGAACTTGGAGAACCGGGCTCCCGGGAGGCAATGCAAACTGACACCGAACAATGAAACTGATGCTGCGTCGTAGATTTTGGAGGTTAGATTCAAGGCAAACACAGGCAAAACACGATAATCACTGAATGAAAAATTAACAAATTAAAAGCAAAAAATGTTTAATTCGCTGACAAAAAATACGCAGCAAAAGAAAAACACGTCAGTTTTCAAGCGCGGCCTACTGCGATCATTCATCAGTTCTGCTTCATTTCACTGCTCCAGAAACTGAAGGTCAACCGGGGAATGAGAGATACTTGTACGATTCGCCTCGAACCATGTCCCCAATCATCTCATCTTCGGTAAAGTCGGTAAAGGCGCAGCTATAAATCAAGACCATGCTGGAGGCTGCTGGGTTCGATTCCCGGTCCAGTCTA